AGGATTTCAATAGGGAGAAGAAATATATATGTTTACACAGTCCGCGATTTTAAGTAAGAAATCATTCCTTAATTATTTTTGAACTCACTCAGGCTATCAGAGATTAGAGAACATCTGTTATACTTGAAATGCCTCCACCCTACAGACAAGAGATATAAATGGGTGCTTCAAAGATGCTCCTTTTCCTTGAAACTCCTTCATTAAAAATCACCTTTGCCAGTCCATTAACAATTAATTTTAAAAATAGCTTATTTATATATAAGTTTTCTTAATGATTTTGTAAACACAGCAGCAGCCAAAGATTCTGGCATAGTGACAGAGGCCACAGAACTCAGAACACAGGAGTTTATTCACTTCTGTCCTCTGGTAATTTTAATGATTCAAATAGGGTAATTTTTTGTCATCTTATTTCATTTGCTTTTAACTTTTTTCTTTTTTAGATATATCATAATCTCAGCTCTGGAAAACAAAAATTTTTGTGAACAAAAGCAGAAAGGGGCCTGAGATCTAAGTCAGTAAAGCCATGTCTGTTTTTAAAGCTATCAATCACCTGTTTTTTATGACTTTTACTAGTCAGCTCTTTTTAATCTTTTACAGTTCAGAGTAGAAAGGATTTTCTTGATCTTGAGAGGAAAAGAGGGTGTCTAGGTCTAACACATAGCAGGAGCTCCAAAAATATTTGTTGCATAAGTCAATGAGAACAAGATACTATCAGTTTATGCTTTTTAATGAATGAGTATGGTGTTTGCTTTTTAACATGTAAAGGACTCCTGTACTCTCCATAAAACCTACAAATATGGCATTTGACAAGCAGGTGAACTGCTTTTTTACTCTACTAATAGCAATAACATTTTAAACATTGTATTTAAAGAGAATGCTAGTCTTATAGATAATTAAATTAAATGGCTTCAGGTTAAACTTTAGAGCAATAAAGCAGAAAATCATCATCAGCCTACTTTGGCAAGCTGAGAATGGAAAACTTTATGGAGTGATAAATAAAGGAATTTTATTTTTATAGACTATATGGGCATGGAGTAGACCAGGTTAAGCATTAGGAGTAACTTTCTGAATGTGCAGTTTTCACATTTTATTAGTAGGACTTCACCTGCTACATGTGCCAATAAACATTCCTTGAAAATATTGAGAATGTAACATGCTTTATTTGGCCACTCCTCTACTGGCAGGCACTAGAAATTTTTTTCTACTGTTGAATTATTGTTTCTGTTATGAACAACAGAACACACAGTTTTTAATAATTTATTCAATACATCTAGAGGACTTTTGATAATGCATTCTTGCAAAACTTCCCCATTGGTAAAAGATTAGAAAGAACAATTCATAATAATAAAATGGCCAATCATAAAGGAAGATCTGAGACTCCTATATGTACATGTACCTGATAACATAGCCTTAACACACTAGCAAAAGCTGGCATCTTTAAAAGGAGAGATAAGCCAATATAAGACATAGTAGAATACTTTAACACACCTCTCTCAGTATCTGACAATGCAGGCAAACAAGAGACCACAGGCGCTGGAGTGCTGAGTGATGTGGAGCAATGTTCCACCTGCTTGTGCAGCTTATCTGTGCCCTCCTGATCTGTGTGATTCTGGATGTACTACTTCCATTTTATTATGAATTAATTATTTCTGAGACTGCCCATGGTTAACACTTGTTGGGTAAGACAGTACGAAACATATGATAGGAAGTTATGGCTACATAGTCACTGAATAGTAGCTCACTTGGTCTCTAAAGGGGCCAGTAGCATTTCAGGCACTACTTTTTGATGGTAAATAATTTGCTGCAAACACCATGGGCTTGCTTCAGAAATACAGCGATAAGGACTATAGCTTCTTAACTGGGGCCTGTCAGATGCTCCACATTGCATCTGTATTTAACACAGATGCCTTAGTGCGATGGAATTTTATGAATCATATGATCCAAGTAACAGGCTTTTCTCCTACTACAACCTACATTATTGGATCTTCTCATTCATATGGCTAAAATGACAGGGTTGCTTTGATTACAACCTAACCTGCTACAGAGCCCTTTCCAGCTCTGGGACACACTCATATCTAGCAGCCTACCATTTTACAACTAAAAGGATCAAAACACATTTCTCTAGAAAAGAGTATCAAATCCAAAGAGGCCTCCCAAGCATTGTACTTCTTTGTTAGTGGTAGGAAGTTCAAGGTACAAAAATCTGTCACTTTCTTTGAAAGACCTCTAAAGTCTTCACCAATGTGGCAGCCTCTAAATCTGTAAGTTTTATCACTGTTATCTCCCACTCTCTGGGTACACATTTCCCAATAGCACAGAGACCTTGCTATATACATGTAGCAAGTGTGTGTGTATACACATATTCACACACACACACACACACACACATACTATATATATATATATATGTGTGTATATATATATATATATATATGTATGTATATATATATATTCATATTGTCAGATGTAAGTAATATAATGTCACAGAAGACCAATATGATCTTCTGCGGAATATCCAGACACTTCATCATGTCCCTTTGGACTATCCTGTAAAGGAACAGACAGATAAACATAATTTTGGTTAAGACAATAGAATCTACATTGTTGTTTATTACATGTGAATGTAGATTATTGCTTATTCTCCTTCTTAACAAACATTGAAAACAAAGCATTGGCCTGATCAATAGCTGCATACAGCGTACTAGAGGCTGTGGTAATCTGCTCCAGTAAAGATACCACATTCAGCGCAGCACAGCACTTAGGGCTCCTACTTGTTTGTGGCAGTCTGTGTCATGTATCATGATCCATCTAGGTTTTGCAGGAATCTTTCTAGTGAATCAAATGAAGATATGATGGGTATATACACAGCATCATTTAAATCTCTGAGTGCAGCAACAATCTCTGTTGCTCCTCTGGGGCCAAAATATTATTTTAAATTTAGTCTCTTGAGTGGTGGTGGGTGGGGCAGTTTTAGGAGCCTTCACTAGGCTTTTCCTATGATAGATACTCTTCTTCTTCAGGTCAAGGAACCAGTATGAAGAGTTGGCATTTTTACATTGCAAAATGAAATTCCTTTTTGAAATGTATTTTTAAAAATCAAAATATAACTTGTATACAATAAATTCACCCTTTTAATGTATGAAATTTAATCAATTATGACAAATGTTTGAAGCCAAGTGACCATTACTAAAATCAAGAGATAGCACATTTGTATCACCCAAAAAAGTCACTGTCTCTTGCATTCAATTGCCTAAACTTAACTACTAGCCCATGGCAACCACCTGCCCATTTTTCATTCCTACAATTTTGTTGTCTCTGGAATTTTATGTAAATGTAATCACAGAGCATACAGTCTTTTTTTGGCTGGCTTCTTTCACTCAGTAGAATACTTTTGAAATTGGTCCTTGTTGTTCCATGTATCAATAGTTAATTCTTTTTTTGTTGGTAAGTCATATTCAATTGGACTGCTTTACCACACTTTTTTTATCCATTCACCAGTTGATAAACATCTGGACTGTTTCTAGTTTTTGGTGATTATGAATTAAGCTGTTATGAGCATTCATGTGTTTTAATTCCTATTGAGAAAATATCCAGGAATGGAATTTCTGGGTTGTAGAATAACCATTCAATTTATCAGTCAATTGTTTCCCAAATAGCTGTGTCATTTTATATTCCCACCAGCCACGAGAATTCCAGTTGTTCAACATCCTTACCAACACTTTTAAACTTTAACTATTCTGGGGGTATTACTGTTGTTTGGTTTTGCCATTTGTAAAGACTACTGATGTTGAGCAGCTTTTCATATGCTTATTGGAGATTTGTGCTTCTTTTTAGTTGAAATATTTGTTCAAATAATTCACCAAGTTTATTGCTGAGTTGTGAGAATTCTTTATAAGTAATGGATATGTGTTCTTTACCAGATGTGTTTTGTACATATTTTCTTATAATCTGTGACTTGCCTTTTCATTTTTATACCATTACCTTTCAACTAGCAGAAGCTATTAATTTTGACAAAGTTAATTTTATCAATTTCCTTTTATGTTTCCTCCTTTTAGTGCCCTATGAAATCTTTGCCTCATTTAGGGTACCAGAATTTTCTTATATATTTTCTTCTAGAGGTTTTATAGATTTAGCTCTCATGTTTAAGTATATGATACATTATGAGTTAATTTTTGTATGTGGTATAAGAATCAAGGTCCTATTTTTGGTACTTTAATATTCAATTGTTCCAGAACATTTTGTTTTAAGGTTGTCATTTTCCCCATTGAATTATGCTGCTACCTCTGCCAAAATAAGTTGATTATATATTCATGCCTCTTCTTCTGGTATCTTTGTTATTTTGCATGTAGCTAAATATCTGTCCTTAGGCCAATGACACATTTTCTTGATATTTTAATTTATTATAAGCCTTCAAGTGGCATAGTATAGGGCCTGAAACTGGGTTTTGCTTTTTAAGATGGTCTTGGGATTAGTAATTAATCTTTAATCAAACTAGTATGTATAACACTGGTGTTCTGAAACATACCAAATTATGGGGGAGAAAAGGAGCTGTCCTTCATAGTATAATCAAAAGGGACATGAACTGTGGATATTCCTCAGAAGGTCATACCTATTTAGAGAGTGGATGTTGAGCATCCACTGATGTTGAGCAGCTTTTCATATGCTTATTGGAGATTTGTGAGAAAAGATACTGACCTCTTTTTGGCACAGTGATCCATAATGAAATAAAAGGCTCAGGGGTCTGAGCAGTGAAACGTACCTTTTTACTGCTTTCACAAATGGTTTGCCTAAATGCTAATAGATGAAAAACTAGTATTCTGTACCACTCCAAACCCTATCTCCTGGGTCCACAAAGCCTTTTCAATTTTCACTCCAAGCACCAGGTAAAGGAAAATCAGATGGATAAAACGACTGACAGCCTGTGGCAGAGACAAGTCGAAAAAAGCAGATGGCTGAGTAGAAGACAAAGGGAGTATAAGACTCAGAGGACTGTGAGGTCAGGGAAAATAGAAGAAAAGGCAGTAGTCAAGGTTCATTTTGCAAATCCAGGGTGAACTCTCTATGGGCTCACAGGCTGTGTTACATCAGTGTCTGGATTCAATGTCCAGATAGGATTCAGAGCTTCTTTGGCTAATAGCAGGACATTTTCAGGAAGAGATTGAACCATATTTACCTTTTGAATCTTTATAATGGAGCAAAGGGATGATATTTTTAAAGGACCAAAAAAGTGTGCTATTACTACTTCTGTTTCTAAAACAGCTTTAATGCAATGTGAGCAAATTTTTTTTTAAAAAGCTTTCATAAGATGTCTGGAAATATTACAGTAAATATTTACATTATTACCTAGTATCTAAATATTTAGGAATTAAAAGAAGCTTCTAATCTTAATAATTAAATGGTCAATAACAGCGTTGATTTATCTGTTTTTCATTAAGTCATATTTAGAGCATCAAATGTAGAAAGAATTATATGAATATTTACCAACTGAGTAAGGATAACCAAAATCAGTGAATCCAATTCATTTTTAATGGTTTAATGTTTAATAATAATCATGTTTTGTCATAGGATAACTAGACACGACAGGCAATTTATATAAATAACCCATAATTAGTCCACTTCAGTACAAACCAAATAATCAGTCTCTCTTTTCTCTTTGTGAATTTTGCAGTGTCATATTGACAACTTTTCCTAACACTACACACTGTTTCATCTTTGTCTTTTTCATGCATGCTTCACTGACACATATGAAATTAAATGTCTGTATCTTGAAGATCCCAACAGTTAGGTCCTTGGTTTCCAAGTCTTAAAGCTTTACCAGTAAAATGTCCTATAAGCTCTTAAGCTTCTCTTCCTTTCTATTACCTGTCGAGAGAATAAGTGCTGGAAAACTGGAAGCAGAATAAACGCTTTGGCTGTGAGGCTGGGGCTGGACTTCAGGAATCTCAGCTGTTGAAAGGAAAATGACAGAGTGCTGTGATGGTGGCCTCCGTATCCATGACATTTGGGAGCCAAGGGGAAGATTGAAGAGACAGGGGTTGCACTTCAGGGAGGTTAGGGGAAGGAATATGGGTGGGGAACTCTATTGTTCTTTCTGACCCAGCTCTTGAAGGTCAGCCTTGGGCACAGTACAATTTCATGGGGTTGGAGGTGATTCACACCCTCATCTACTAACTACACAGAAAATTCCTTTTATATAAGAAATCCCATTGGTGAAAATAAGGGACTTAAAAAGATAACCATATGAGACAGTTAGTTTTGCCTAAATATATCACAGAAATGAGGCTCCCCAAACTCTCTTATTTTGGTTAGAGAAACCAGTTACAATACAGCCATGAGGGGAAAGTTGGGCAGCGGTCGGGGAGAGTATCAGAAAGGAAATGAGAACAGAAAGGGCAGGCCTGAGGCATGGGGAGCTGTGATAATGCATCAGAGCTTGAGGCTGCTTTAGAGTACAAAGGGCTTGTTTGCTCAAATCTCATTTTGTTCTCACAGCAACTCCGTGAAGTGGAGGAGGTATCACCTCCAGTTTATGCAGGAGAACACGAAGGCTTAAAAAGGTTAGGTGATTTGCCAGTCATCACAGCAAGGCAGCAAGGTAACTGACAGAACTATACAAAGCTCCAGTACAGGCATCTTCCTCTAAGTCTCGTTCATCCGTCACTTAGCTGCTTCTCCCTTTGCTTTGACTATGATGCGGCACAGACCTTACCTCCAAGAGACTGTAGTGCACTAAAAATTACATTACAGCCTTGAACTATTAATTTTCAAGAAAAAATATATAATTTTAAGTTATTTTTGTATCCAATCTAGTAATACCTAGAAAGTCACATTGCAGTGACTGTGTGGGAGAAAAACTGCCAGCTAAAAACACTGATTTCTGTACAGGATTTTTTAAAATCCACTGAAATAATCTTAAAAGTACGTTTTACCAATTTTTCAAAATTGTATTTCCATGTCGCCTTTTTAAGGCTAGTCAAGTGAAGCAGTGGGAGTGGAGAAGGAACACAGAAATCTGTTAAGTGGTTGTGATCAGTTGGTTGTAAACATCACTGCACCTGGACTACCTCGTGTCGTTTTTTAATGGAAACATGATTTATTTCCTTCTCGTCATCATCTCAAGAATAAAATAAGTATTTGACCTTTGCTCAAAATAATTTTTTCTTTGGGTTACAATCTGAAGGGCATTAATTGTGAAGATATTGTTATGACTAACGCCCACTGTCTAAAGTAGAATTCTCAGCCAGTTCAGACCTAAAGAGGGAAAGATGTCGTTTGAGCTTTTTTTTCTCCTCTGGCCGTTCACACAACTTGACTTCAATGTTGCCATCACTGAATGCTTCTCCTTTGGTCTCCTCTACTGGATTGTCTCTCAGGGAAAATTTTGCTTTCTTCTGCATCATCATAATTCCTGAATTTCCATGCCTTTGTGCTGGAGAGAAGGTTTTGTTTACTATGCAATAGCAAACTGCAGACAAAACATTTTTTTTGAACTTTTCATTCATAAATGTGTAGATAATGGGATTACAGATGGAGTTCGAAAATCCAATAATTTGCACTATAGCAAAAATCATCTTGATTGTGACATCATCATATTCCTTTTCAAAATTACCTGAAAGAAAGTAATATTTTAGAATGTACATGTATTTTAATGAGCATAAAATAAAACTTCTGTTTGTCACCTGTCAAAGACTTACACTTGTATAAGTAGTTAAAGGTGTCAAAAGTTCTCAAGGTCATTTTGGGAGAGGCATCTGATATCTGAATAAAAATAACCTTTGTGATAAGTCTTCACTTAGAGAATCTAGGCTTACAAGCATAGCCTGGTGTCCAGCACATAGTAGGGGGCTCATAGCATTGCAGCTTGATAACGCCAAGCTTCATGTAAACTGGAAGCAGCAGTAACCCTTTAAATGTTCACTGGCCCTACAGAAACAAAATCATACTGAGAACCATGGTAAGTCCTGGGTTATCAGAGAGAATATACTGTGGGTCTGACTGTTCAAGTCAGGGTTCTAAATAGGGAATGCTCATAGAATATCACTCCTTTCCCAAAATTTAAATAGCTTAGGGAGAACAGATGGAGTAACATGGGAGAGGAATCTCAAAATTTTCTTTATCTTCTGTCATTATTAAAGATTTGGTCATAGTCATACATAATGACCTACCACATACATAATAACCTTGTGATCTTGAAGACATGAAAGAAACATATGAAATGTTAGGTATTTTATTATCCAAGTGAACAGTGACACATTTCTAGGATTTACTGTCTATTATAGTAAGAAATGAATGAGAATGTCTATCAAATGAGAATGGCAAACACTCACTGTATTCAATCATCATATGGACGACATGAAATGGTGCCCAGCACACAGCAAAGAGAGCCACCACTGTCACCATCATAATGACAGCTCGTTTCTTCTTCCTAACCCCACAAAGAAACACTGTATTAATTAACTTCTCCTTGGCAAATGTGCCAAATTGATAGCAAAGCTATTAAAGTATGAGCCTAGTCCACTCAAACGTAATTTTTAAATTAAGTTCATGATAGGTTATTTGTGGAATGATTATCATCTTTTCCTATTGACATTACTTCTATCCTAATATTTTCCATATCATAAATGTTCTTTGAATGTCTGCTCATTATGAATCTGGCACTCTGCTAGATACATGGGATAAATTATGTCATTAATTTTCCCAATAAGCCATTTGATAGATGCAGAAACTGAGACACACAGAAGGTTAATTAACTTGCAGAGTTGGACAGTTAGTAAGGGCTGTATTTTGGATGTGAATTTAGGGAGTCTAACTTCCGTGACTTCCATATAAACCTCTTACTTTATATTAAAGAGCATTCATGCTTGTGGTAGTAAAATATCAACATTTATAAAATATGGGTCTGGTGCAGTGACTCACGCCAGTAATCCCAGCTCTTTGGGAAAACAAGGCAAGTGAATTGTGCGAATCCGGGAGTTTGACACCATCCTTGGCAACATGACAAAACTCCAGCTCTGCCAAAAAAAAAAAAAAAAAAAAAAAATATGAGAAGCTCCAGGGATAGAATTAAAATGCACATCTATATGATATATCTTGATTTTTTTGAGACAGAGTTTTACTCTGTTGCCCAGGCTGCATAGGAGTCGTGCAATTATAGCTCACTGCAGTCTCAATCTGGGCTCAAGTGATCCTCCCGCCTCAACCTCCCATATAGCTTGGACCACACGTGCATGCCACTACACCCAGTTATTTTTAAATGTTTTGTAGGTGGGGTCTCACTTTGTTGTCCAGGCTTGTCTCAAACTCCTGGGCTCAAGCAATCCTCCCACCTCAGCCTCCCAAACTGCTGGGATTCCAGGTGTGAGCCACCACACCCAGCCTAATATATCTTAACAATATGACTAATCAGGGCTTCAGGCTAATTTTCTCCATGACATCTGTAAAGGGGATTTACATCTGCAAGAGCTCTATACATCTGCACGGTCGTTTAAGTTTATAAAAACTCATACTTATTATCTTATTACTATTATCATTACTTGAAACAAAGTCTTGCGCTGTCACTCAGACTGGAGTGCAGTGGCACAATCTCAGCTTCCTGCAACCTCCACAGCTTACTGCAACCTCCATCTCTTGGGTTCAAACAATTCTCTTGCCTCAGCCTCCCAAGTAGCTGGGATTACAGGCACCCACCACCACACCCGGCTAATTTTTGTATTTTTAGTAGAGATGGGATTTCACCATGTTGGCCAGGTTGGTCTTGAACTCCTGACCTCAGGTGATCCACCCACTTCGGCCTCCCAAAGTGTTGGGATTACAGGCATGAGCCATCAAGCCTGGCCCATTATCTTTTATTTCAATGGCAGCTCTTTCTTCCAAGGAAATGAGAGGAAACAATTTAGCAACAGGTTCCAAGGTGCTGAACAGTCGAGGGGCCCCTGTTCATTGAAAGAAAGGATTTATTTATTTAAACTAAGCACTACAGCACTAGGGATCACTGCACACTTGGAAAGTTGATAAAATCCCACCAAATCACCAGACTCCTCCATTTAAGGTTTTGTTTTCTTTGTTTCTAATAATCATTCAGTTTAGATTATTAAATAAATGATATGGACTACAAGTACCATAGCAGTAAGTCGTGTTTTAAAATTTCTATTAATGAATAAAATCAGAAAGCAAAGCCCTTAGGTAAAAATAAAAAATCAATAATAATAATTTAAAATAAATAACATGCTTCGGTTTCTAAAGGAATTTCATACAGATCAATCTCATGTCTTTTAGCATCATCCTTGGGTGGGATTAAGTAAGAATGGATGTTATTATGCTCCTTGTACATATGAGTAAAGAAGAGCCTCGGGAGTGAGACTGATGTATATCTCATGGCTGGTGAATGACAGAGAGAGTACCCATAGGACCACAGAGTTCTGACACCAGCCCACAGTCTTCCTACCACAACATATCTGCTCTAAATCCCAAGTCACTTTCTACGTACAGCTGCAACTTCCAGGTTGATTTGCAAGCTGGTAATCTTGTTCTTTCTTTCTGCCACATGTAAAACTTCAAGAGTTTAAAGTCAGTCCATGCCCTAAATTTGAATTACAAAGGTTGCTTTGACTAAATTACCTAGGGGATCTGAGAGCCCTGGCAACTATCCCTTCTAGCACAACTAATTAAAAATATTTTAAAGAGGTGAATATTTCATTAAACAGACCTGGCTATTTTAGACATTTCTTTTCCATGAATAGTTCGAAGCATTGAACCATCCCCCACTCTTTTCTTTATCCAAAGTTCATAACCAATTTTACTGTACAGAATAAGCATCACCATAAGAGGCAGGAGGAAGAGGATGATAAGGATGAAGGTGGTGTAGATCTTCTGGTGCACAGGGCTGGTCCACTCTTCTAAGCAGCAGATGTGTTCTTTTTCATATAGGAAGTCATACTTGATCTTTATAATAAGAATAATTTGTTAAAAGAACCACTGGTCAGCATCAAAAGAAGAGAAATCAGCCAAGTATTACAGTAATACAACATTTTGTAAGCTCTTTCAAATTGGTCCCAGTACATATTTTAAATGTACATTTTTCATTGTTCTTATGTTGTTTTCCACTTCACTGCTTAAGCTCTTAGGAGTTTTATACCAACTTTTCTATTTTAAATGGAATTCAGGTTCACAGCCTGTTTACTTTCATTTTTTATATTTCTCAACTTTTATTTCCACTAGTCACAAGTTTTTAATTGACTGAAAGAGCATTACATTCGCCAAAGTATATATTGAAAAATATTTTGCAGTACATGCTAGCTAGTTTGTTATTAAATTATTTTGCTCCTTCAATTGTTGAGATAGATTTTTGACAAGGCGTGAGACATCTTTCAATTGAAAAACTGAAAGCTGTATTTTGTTACTGCTACTTCATATATTGCAATGATCAGATTGCTTGGAAAGTTATTAAAAAGGCAACTGGCAGCTTTTATCCTGAGATGAATTAGAAACTGGGATTCAAACTACTGTCAATATACAAACATTCAGATTGTATCTTCTGGTTTATTAATACTATTTCTAGTAGACTAACCTTAGAAACTCAAAAGTATTATTAATAACAATAATAAATAATAAATAGTGTCTTAAAGGCTACTTCGAGAACAAACTAAATATTTAAAGCATATTCAAAAGTTGCATTTTTGGGTAACAGGAATAAAAACAAGAGAAGTCACCAAAACTATTGTTATTTTACTCACTATGGAGGTGAATCCTTAGGTCTCAGATGCATTTCTGCCTACAATCCCAGAAAATTTTATCACCAGTCTTCAACATGAATTGAATGTGGAAAAGCAGCTTTTTAGTTACTCTTCAAAGGTAAGAAAATTCAAGTTCTGACCTAGGAGCTACTTACAAATGCAACTAGGAATAACACTTACTGCAAAATAATCTCAAGATTCAAACTCTCTGGAAACAGAATGTTAAATACATTCATTCTGACTCCATGGAAGCAAAGCCTGCAAGGGCCAATGACCAGGGAGCCATGGACTGACATATCTAAGAGCATGCTGGACTGGGAGTCTTGGATCAGATTCACATAGCCCTAGGGACAAGCAAAGACTTCTCGAGGGCATGTTCAGATGGTTTTATGGAAAATTTCAGATCTTTAATCTTCAACTTCAGATCTTCTTATTACATACACTTCTCTAAAATTCCACTGCCTAATATTGTCCCCAAGGTTGAAGTGTCATGCTGGGTCCTCATTCCCACTTCCTCTTTCGTAATCACCCTTCTCCCAACATCTAGAAGTCACACCTCTCACCCAAACTGAATCTTACCCCGGGGCACGAAGAAAAGATGCAACTCAAATGACTGATGTCAGTGAAGCCACACTGATTAAGGCATCATAAACCCATGGCAGGGCTTTGTGCTTCTCTCTCTCTTAAATATATTTCTATTCAGGGTAAAGCCTGGCAGAGAAAAAAGGTATTTGACTGGTGTTGCGAAGTTGTGAATTCGCATTTTTGATACAGTAAGGAGGCAGGAGCAATGACAATTTTAACTCAACCATCTTGTTGCTTCTATCGCCTGAAAATTGACAAATACATCACTCATGAGAGAGAGCCCAGTGCAAGTGAAGCAGTAGTGAGAAATGCTGAAGGCGGGGTGCTTTGTATCATCCCAGTGATAAGTTCAGACTCCCTGTATGCTCAGGAGGATATTAGGCAGTGGAAATTTCAAGAAGTTTGTGTTTGAGAATAGAAAATCTGAAATTGAAGAATAAAGATCTAAAATTTTCCATAAAACCATCTGAGCATACCCTCAGGAAGTCTTTGCTTGTTCTAATAGAATTTAGGACTGAGAGGGTGGCCATGGATGCATATTAATACATTTGTTTAATCAGACATTTTCCTGACAGGAAGGAACTTTGACAGGGTTGATCTATTTGACACAGAGGACTGGCTTTGCCAGTGACATGACTTGCATTTTCTATAAACATAATGAACTATATATTTAAAAAATATTTAGAGTATTTTTAAAATATATAAAAATACTTTTTCTATATTAAATAAAATAAAACGCTTTTATTTTATTTAAAAATGGATGCATTTGTTTGTTTTCTATGGGCTAGAAATGGACCACACCATTTGGGACTAGAGTGAGTCATTTATAAAAGGGCTCCACCAGTCTGGGCTTCATGCTGAACATAAGGGCAGCCTCCGCAGAAGGGAGCTGGCACGATCCCTTGCCGGCCGGCTGGAGGTCTCAGTGCTGTTATCTTTGAGAAGTCCTGAAGCAAATAATCAGTCACAGGCCATACCACCACATCTAGAGGGCACTGGTTCCAGTGACATCTGTCCCTTCCTCTCCCCGTTCTCCTCATTAGCTTCTGAGGAAAGAGAGGCAGACAATAGTAAGGGGGGCGGTGAGAGGGGTGGGGAAACAGAGAAGAAGCTGATCATAACTCCTTCACATTTCTGGGCCTGAAAACTATTCACGCTGAGGAAAGGGAAACTTGTAAATTGATTAATAAGAGTATGGGTTTATGTAATTGTGGTCCTGAACAGGACAGTTTAATAACAGAACTCACACTATTCTTGTGAGTGAAAGTGAGCAGAGTAATTTTATTATCTGACTGGAAGAGTTGCTCAAGACTTTTTCATCCATGATATTTCACCAAGAGGACTAAAAAAGTCCTTAGATGCATTTTTACAGGTAGCAAGGTATAAAATAAAGTTACTTTCTGCTCTCACCTATGGAGTTCAGCTCATTCAACAAATCAGTTACATGAAAAAAAATCAGGCTACTTTTTAAATGCTATCTTACCTTAGGCTCATTTGTTATTCTTGCGGATGACATGACATGGACAGTAAAGTTTCACATTTGCCTATCTCTATTTTAAGAGATACAAAAGGATAAATCATTTAAAAATTATCTTAGAGGGTATGTGAGCAACCCCCTGCTGTCTTTGAAGACTGCTGTCTGGGTAGATCACCTATCCAAGACATGTTAAAGTCCACCCTAACAGACAGGCTGGCCTGCCTAAAACCAACTCAGTGCTCTCATTCCTGTGAATCCCCACGTACAGCGGGGCCTGTCAGACAAAGGTGTGGGAAAAGGAGACAGGCTGAATAAGATGATCTCCTGACATGCTTCCAGTTAGAATTTCAATGTGTCAATGAATAGCAGGCAGGTTGAAAGGACTTCTGAAAGAGAGTCAACTAAGTAGACAATTTATTACAATTTTTTTTAATTGATTGAAAACTAAAAGAAAAACCTAGAGCAATCATTCAATTCTTAAAATGTAACAAAACATTTGGGGACACTGGGAAAGGCATGCTTGGCTTGCAAGAAAATGTAGAAAGTGACCCGTGTATTTTTTAAAAATTGTATTTTAAGCATTATAGTCCTAACAATATATCAAGAAGAGCTAGATAAAAACAGAGAAAATGAACCTTTAAAAATTGTTTTATTGTACTTGAAAGACCTCCAGTGAAATACTTGAGGTCATAAAAATTTGCTGCATTGCTCCTGCAGGAAGGAAAATAATTACAATGAAGACAGGTGAGAAAATTGTTCAACAATATGATTATCAATCCCAGCTAGAGTCTACCTCAAGTTGTTGCACGTGCCACATGGGTGATCCTACGATGACTGCCACCAGCCAGACCACACCTGTAGAAGTGATGAAGTCATCAGAGTATGACTCAGTTGAGGAAAACACATCCATGCATAATTCTCTAACCATCAAGGTCCCCTATAGGAGGGCAGCTGTTCTCTGCCCTAGGACAGTGCCACAGTCTCCTCCAAGGTTCATGCTTCACCTCTTTCACCACCCTCAAAACTGCTGCTGGCATAAAATTCATAAAACAAGTTTAAATGCTTAATAGTATTCCATTGCCTACAAGATAAAACCCAGTTTCCTTAGCATGGCCCATTAGGTTCTCGACCATCTCCATTGCCTGTCTCTTTTCTCTCATTTCAGTCCATGCTCGCTCTTCACACCGCAGTCCCCTACTGGGGAGCCTGCAGCGCTGATTTCAGTTTTTGTATCCCAGAATGCATTGTGCCACGCCCTGACAACCCTATTCCCAGTGTCCATCTGTATTCATTTTCCAGGACTTGACTCAGAAATCACCTTCTCCAGAGAACCTTTGAAGGCTGCCACTATTTCCAAATAAACTGACTACTAATTTCTTGTTGTCTCTTCATGCTCTCTAGAGCAGTGTCTTGGTTGCCCTTACTCACTTCTCAATTTCCTCCAACTCCTTGAAAGCAAACACAATACCATTTATTTTTGTGTTTCTTCAAATAAGAGTCCTAGGAAAATTCCTGGCCCTCTATAGGGGCTGATCCATATTTGCTGAATGGATGAATAACTTTTTAAACATGACATACAACACCCTCTATCACCTCTTTTTAAAATCAAATGTACATTTATCTGAAGTACTGTAACATGGGCATTATTTTCTTATTTAGGAAACAAACACTAATAACTTCAGAAACCAGAATGCTCTTTTGAAATTCCCTGTCCTCCACGAACTTGTTGAAAGGAATTTCTTTAATAATGTACTCTTAGAAAATTAAAAAAAAAAAAAGGAATAACTACCAAGAACAATTTCAACTCATGTGTCTTAACAGATATGGAAGAGGACAGAACCAAGATCCCCAACTTTGATTTGGGGGAAAAGTTTCCAGCTCGAACTCTGCTTGCTGTTTCTATATTGGGTGGAACGTTAAGAAAACAGTTCATTGCTTTGGGTTTCAGTGACTCACTTGAGCCATAATTGGGGTTTATTATAAAGAAACACATAATCTGGTACTGCCTATAGAAATTCATCATGATCCAATGATGCCAGGCAGCTGTGGGACTCACAAGCCTGTCTGTCTGTCTATCTGGCCGTCTCTATTTCTCACTCTTTCTTTTCGGTCTCCATATTACCATACACACCTGTTACAGTTTAATCGCATGTAGTTATCTTATGACCAATCATTTTTCTGGTCTTTAGAGCAAATTCTGGAGGAATTGAGTCTAATTGGCATAGCTCATTTCCTACCTTCCTGGATCCCTGGATGGTTCTGTGATAGAAGGGGTAGAGTTAGACGAACAGTACTGATACAGTGACCACATCTGGGCAAGAAAGCCTAGAGGGTCTAGGCCAAGCTTGTCCAATCTGCATGTGGCCCAGGAAGGCTTTGAATGTGGCCCAATACAAATCTGTAAACTTTCTTTATTATTAGAGTTTTTTGCAATGTTTTTTAAAAGCCATCCGCTATCGTTAGTGTTAGTGCATTTTATGTGTAGCTCAAGACAATTCTTCTTCCACTGTGGCCCAGGGAAGCCAAAAGATTAGAGACCCGCTGTCTAGGTCTAGGCAATCTCAGCTGGAAGGAGGGATGGGACGTGACATACAAATAGTGACTGACAAAGCTGGGTCATAGTGTGACATTAGACAACAGTCCACAAAAGCCCCTGTGACCAGATTGGTCTATTTGATTTTAAAACCTTCTTCTCTCCTAGGTCTCTTTTGAGTAGGAACTGCCTTGACCTATTACCAACTATGCTTTGAGATGTTGCCACTCCTGCCACTTCTCTTTCCTTTTTAGTAACTTCCCTCCTCCATGGAACCCTTTCCTTACTCACTTTCCATCCCCACATGCTGTTTTCAAGTGTTCTGATGTTGGAAGGATGTCAATTATTAAAAGCCCAGAAATCTTGGAACTCTTAGTAGGAAAGACATGGCATGAAATTAAAACTAACTAAAACCAACATCTTTCTCCCCTAATGATTTAGGTATTACCTTCAAGCTATTTAAAATGACTTTGGCATTGCAAAGCCTGCAAGGCTTTTTTCTGTAATTCCACAGTCCAATACTGGCTAAATTCTTACAGCAGAAATAACTGTTTACTCATTCTTCTCAAGCGAGCTATTAGTAAAAATTGCTTTCTTTGATTATCACATTAGTTGCTTGCTACGCCTCTCATTATTAGCTATATTAAATTCAAACCACTGTGAAGCACATTAAGGTTTTAAATGGTTCAATTATAATTACTGAATAGAGAAATGCTTCCATTTTACTGTGTTAGACTTCAGGACATTTTTGCAAATTTACAATTTATCATGAGGTACGTGTTCATTGTGACTTGCTGACTCAGGAATAGTCCCCAGCACTCAGCATCCACTGTTTTCATGTACTCTGTCACCTTCTATCCTTCTGTTCTCACCACAAGGGCAGCACTCCTGTTCTCTACTTTTCTAAAAACACATCTCCTGCTCCCTATCAGTATCAACCTGCCTGGCCAGGTGCAGTGGCTCACACCTGTAATCCTAGTTGTTTGGGAGACCAAGGAGTACAAGGAGAGGCCAAGGGGGAATGGCTTGAGCCCGGAAGTTCAAGACCAGCCTGGGAAACAGAGAGATCCTGCTTCTACCAAAACTTAAAAAAATTAACTGGGCATGGTGGCGCCCACCTGTGGTCCCAGCTACTTGGGAGTCTGAGGTGGGAGGATCAGATCACTGAGCTCAAGATTGAGGCTGCAATGAGCTGTAATCGCACCACTGCACTGCCGCCTGGATGACAGAATGAGATCCTGTCTAAAAAAGAAAGAAAAAAAAAATCGAACTGCCCTTGTTATTTTAGCTTAGAGTCCTCTTATCGGAAGATAATAATTCCCAGCCGGGTGTAGTGGCTCATGCCTGTAATCACAGCACTCTGGGAGGCTGAGGTGGAGGGATCACTTCAGCCCAGACATTTGGGACCAGGCTAGGCAACACAGTTGACACTCTGTCTTTAAAAAACAAAACAAACAAGCAAAAGATGACAGTTCCCGATCTAATGAATGTTAATATGGCAATGCCACTGATGGGGTTATCCTGGATTAGCTTAACGTAGTGCTTAAACATTTAAGATGTAAGCTGAAAAAGTATATCCAAAATGATACATTTTCAGTGCTGAGGTTGGCCGAAAAGAGAGACGGTGAGGAGGTGGAGGCAAACAGGGAGAGCACTGAGACTCTCAAATTATATTCCAACGCCTACTGAGATCAAATTAGATAAGAAGCTATCCTTCTAGTTTAAAAATATGGTTCTCTTTGTTCTGTAATGAAGAATGTCATTCACACTGCCATTGGCACATCCAGTGGCCTCACCTAGCATTGTGAAAGCCCTTCGGTTGGTGTATTGCCACTTCATTTTAAAAGGATGCACAAGTCCCTGGTGCCTTTCCACAGCAATACAGGTCATAGTGAGGATTTCTGTCACAACAGCAGTAGACTGGACAAATGGCACCATCTTGCAAACGAAAGCACCTGCAGCAAGAAAATAGGACAAGTCATACATTAAAACAAAAAGAATGAAGGTTTCATCAGTCTCTTTGTAATTATCACAGTCGGTTATTTCTGAGCCTCTGCCAAAATGTTTCATAATTGCAATTACACTGTAGACACAAAATAATTGAAAAAGGTTGCACTGGCTTATGTTTCTCCCTCTAACTAAATTCTATGTTCCTAAATGCTATGCAATTATGTATAAATAGTCCATGAGAGGACAAATCAGTATCTAGCCATTGATAATAGTGGAAAATAAGCAATATGACCTTCGCTTAGGGAAGAGCAAAGTCATCGTGAATTGGTCTCCTGGGCTCTATGCTACAGAGTAATCTTTGATTCTCTCTTTTCTTTGGGCTTCCTGTCAAATCACAACAAAGGAATAGTTCTCATCAAAGACTCTCAGATTTCTTCTTTTATCATTTATTCTCCTTTGACTTCCTGTCTAAGACTTTATATATGTATTACACCATTACACCCCTGATTTCACTTTCTGTAATGCAACGGTCTCAAACTGGTGGCCACTAGGCAAGATTTTGCCTGAAAGCATGCTTCATTTGGTTTTCAGAATAGTTTAAAATCTTGAATGTATTGTCAATCTTTTTAAATGTTTATACTATTTGTCTGACCCCTTCACCATTTGGATTTGTGAGCTTTGGTCTGGCACCTCTGGTCTTAACCCATGCTGCTTGCTGCTACCAAATTCATGATTCCCAGCTACCAGAGAATCATATACTCAGGGAATATCAAGTTGGAAGACTCATCAGAGGTTATCTAGCCCTAGCTTCTACCAAAAGCAGAAATTCTATCTTCAACTTCTCTCCGAAATGCTCTGCCAAACTCTGCTTAAATACAGATTGAGCATCTGTAATCCAAAAATCTAAAATCTGAAATGAACTGAAACCCAAAGCTTTTTTGAGTGCTGATATGACACCACACATAGAAAATTCCACATCTTCTTTCATGTGACAAGTCACAGTCAAAACATACAAAATTATTTAATATATTGTATGTAAATATCTTAAGACTGTGTGTATAAGGTATGTAAGAAACATAAATGAATCTCATGTGTAGACTTCAGTCTCATTGCCAAGATATCTCATTATGTCTATACAAATATTTCAACATTCCCAAAAATCTGAAATCTGAAATACCTCTGATCTCAAGCATTTCAGAGAAATAATACATGGGAAGTCTTCTTGCTTTCACAGCCTCACCTCAGGTCTTTGCATGGCTTTTCTTGCTCCTTGGAATACTGTTCCCTGAGATCACTCCCCCACGTCCTTCCCTGAAGTCTGCTCAAATGTCACTGTGATGGTTAATTCTATGTGTCCAGTTAACTAGCTTAAGGAATATCCAGATAGCTAGCAAAACTTATTTCTGAGTGTGCCTGCGAGGGTATTTCTGGAAGAGATGAGCATTTGAATCAGTAGATGAGTGGAGAAGATCCTTCCTTCCCCGTGTGAGTTGGCAGCATCTAATCCACTGAAGGCCCGAATAGAACATAAAAGCACAGGAAGGGTGAATTTGCTCTCTGCTGAAAGTGGAACTTGCATCTTTTCCTGCCTTTTGACATCAGTGCTCCTGGTTCCCACACCTTCTGACTCAGACAGGGACCTACACTAACAGCTCCCTGGGTTCTCAGGCCTGCAAGCTTGAACTGGTCTCCACCACTGGCTTTCCTGGGCCTCTAGGTGGCAGATAGTAGGTCATGGAACTTCTCAGTGTCTGCAATTGAGTGAGCCAATCCCTCATAATTAATCTCTCCTAAATATCTCTAAATATCCTATTGGTTTTGTTTCTCTGTAGAACCCTGACTAATACAGTCAACTTCTCAGTGAGGCTGTCCTACTCTAAAACCATGTTTGTAGTTACGCCTGTCCCATTTTCTATCTCTTCTCATTGCTCATCTCTTTCATTCTAGTCTTTCCCATAACTGTTTCACATTTTAACATACTGATATATAACATATATGCTGCTAATTTGTTTTCTCTTTTTTAATTATTTTATTATTTATTTACCCCTACGAAAACATAGATAATGCAAGATCAGGAATTTTTGCCTATCTTTTTCACTGATGTATTCTCAGCATTAAGAATGGTAACACAGTAGGTCTTTAGTAAATATTCATTGAACTGAAAAGAACAAACGAGTAGAAGGCTTATCACTCCTAAAGGCATCCCATTCCATTTTAGAAAGGCTTTAATTGGAAAAAGTGCTTTACAATTCTACCCATTTCTAGCTTTGTTCTCAGAGTCTCAGAGCGAACCAACTATCTTTTCCAGTGTCTCCACATATATTTGAAAGAAGTCTTCCTGTCACCCATCTTTCCTAGTTGTCTCAGTTGTTTCTCATTTGCTATGCTTTTCAGAACTTTCAAAAAGGTGAATGGAGAAGGGAACCCCCATGGACCATGGGCCATGGACCAGGCAGAAGGGAACCCACCAATGTTCAGGATGTGGCTTGGCCAAGGCGGGAACTGTGGAACTGTTTTGGCTTCCCAAGTCTAAACACCCTCTTCTGTGACTGAAACTGATGTTTACATCAGCCTTCTATGCTAGATTTTTCAAATGGTTGAAGTCAACTTGAAATGAACTGGAACAGTTTAATAGAAATTTTGTTAACCCAAGACTCCCTTACCTCCTATCCGATGCCTAAGGGGAAAAACGTATTTAGATATAACTCTAGATACTCCCTTCCCATTCATTTTGGGGAGCTCCAAATGGCAACCCAAGAGCCAAATCCACTCACTCCTATTCCCTGTTACAGTCTCCCAAGACAAAATTCTGCCCAGTTTTGTTTGGAAAGATGGTTTAGATGCCAACTGCGGGAATGCACTTTCAATGTTAATAAATTCCACTGTGTTTGAATACTTACTATACTGTGAATAAATTAGTTTACCTTAAATCCTGGTTTGGATGTGATACTTGAGTAAATGAATATGAGTATAAATTATTAATCTGCATATTTATTCTAGGTATTTTCTCTCTTCTGACAAATTTAATCAGAACTTTTTCTATTGAAAACAACCTTGTATATTTTAGTATTTTATAAACAATTTGGTTCACAAGAAATATATTTTAAATATAACTATCCAAACAAGAAAGAATTTTTGCCTTGTTGATTGTAGTGTTATCTCATTATAGTGTTTTCCATCCTAAATACATTCACTTTGTATATTATAGCACAGGATATCTGTCAATTGAGTCATTGATATCAAGATACACTCTGATTCTGCTTTATCTGGTTTCTTAGCCACTCTGAGTCTCAATTTCATTATTTGAAAAAAGGGATTAATAACACCCATCTGTCATAGGACTGATGTATTTCATAAAATGACATAAACACCTAATACGAGATACATTCTTTAATAAATGGCAGCTCTTTTATCATTAGGTAGCCCTATTGAAAGAATCAAGGTAAATTTGACACACTTGGGGCTGACATGTTCTCTGTGGATAAACTGACCATTAAAGGACACCTAATTTAATAACCTTATTTCCTAGATAAACATATTGCAGTTCAAAGAAGTTACATGATATGCTCATGTTCACACAGCTATTTATTGACAGAATGAGTCCAGGTTGTCTGACTCCAGTTCCTTCTGTTATGTCACCCTCACTTATCTTACTGTACCCATGCTATGTGGCAGTTTTCTTGTCTACCTGCTCATAAATTATCTGTTTAATAACCCATTTGTGAATTTCACACCAAGCTGTAGTTCCATAATCTGTCATCTTACCATTTTAATAAATTTGGAACAGCATTTGCCTTATTCATTACTTCTGACATTTCTCCAACCATCTCTCTAAGAAATTATGGACAGCATTTCCTTGATCACATTTCCAAGTTTCTCCAATGTTCTGTCATGTAATTTCTCTAGGATGTAGTTTTGAATTCTTTTAAAAATAGGTACATGCTCTTTTGCTATCTACTTACTTATATTAGATATTTATTTTCATTCTAACCATCTTTGCCCTTTTTAATTGTAAGAGCACTTTTCGAGATCTAGAATACTAAAATAAACATTGAAGAGTTCTGGTTTTTCTCTGCCCTTCGTTAAGCCTCTGTCATCAACCCTCCCTTTCTTTTTCAGCTTCTTCTTCTGGTAACCTCTCTGATTGCTCTTTAGTCAGCTTATTCTACCCTTTATCTTTCCCAATGTGAGTTGTATAGGTGTAAATTATTTGTAAGAATGTGTCTTTTGTGACATTTCTTCCCATAAATATGGCAATTTTAAACTGGGATAATCCTACATTCCCTGCATAGGACACTGTTTTCTTGCCGTTTATTTGGGATGGCTTTTTTTTTTTAACTTGTAGGACTATCTGATGTTAATATCACAGTTATGTTTCTTAAAGTCAGCCTGGAATGGATATTTCTCATATTTTGATTTTCTAGCACCCACCTCACTTCTCCAAATGGCAATACAGTTTCCTTTTAGAACATTAACTCTCTCCTACTGTGGGCAGGTTAGGTAAGAGCTCCTACTTAGAAGGACAAAGCGGTAATAGGTGAGATCCCCTCTAGTGTTGAAAGAGTTGAATGCAGATAGAAGAGAGTTTGAGGTGTTGTGGTCACGTGCTCACCAGATCATGAGTGCTAATAGGTCACCGCTGAGTAATTGCTGCTGGCCTCTGAGCTCCTTTGGTCGCTTTCTGTTGCAGGTCCATTCCTTCAGCTTCACACTGATCCTGTGAGCATTCAATGTCCTTCCAATACATTCCCTTCTCTTACGGTACTTAGTTGTCAACTGTTGCTTGCAACCAAGTAGACTTATTTGACATACTTCTCCTTTGCTACCTTATTCTTGAAAAGGCAGTTTTTAAAAAATATAGTATACTGTGGGCTATGTTATATCTGTGTGTACTGTTTCCTACAGTTTGCTTCCATTGCTGCTTCCATTTCTACTATGCCTCACTCTTGAGAAAGAGGGTACAATTGTTTTATTTTGCCTACTGGATTAGGAACAATTGCTTTGG